ACTTGCAGTAATGTGGTGATCACAAAGTGTTTTAAGTATCATTTGTGTCAAACCTGCACATAAAACATCTGAACAGGCCAGAAATTCATGGAACAGGTCAAACTGCAACAGGAGAGAGGATAGAGGTTCATGTTCGGCCTTTAACCATCAAACCAGATGAGCCGCGGTAGACAGAAGTAAAGGAAGAGTATTTTCTACCAAAAGACTCAGAAATTCTGACATGAAAAGTTCTAGAAAAAACATTTGCATTTGAAAAGTTGAAAATATTTAACATTTAAAACTGACTTTTTTCTAGAAAATTTTTGACTGAGTTCATAAATATTTTTTCTAAAAAATGTCAAATTTTTTTGGTGGAAATGTCCTTTTTATATCTACAGTGACGGTAATATGCTTTGTGGCATGAAGATAACTTAAGACTCAGAACTGGGGAAAATGTGAAAATTGGTTCAGTTAAATTATGTTCTCAAAAATAAATACATTAAAATAAGCCGACAGTTTATCCTTTGATGCACTAAGATGTTCCTTTTTGATTCTCATCCCGATGAGACGCTCGTTTCAGATCCAGTCTGGGTCCGGTGGGTGGCGGCTCGCTGCCTGAGCCTCCAGCAGCTCGGAGTGTTTCAGGTTTTGGTTTTTGTTGCAGCCATAAAGGAGAATCCTGATCCACTGGCTTCTCTGGTTGTTAATGGGAAGAGGAGCTTCATCTCAGCGCTGGAGATGGAAGGATTTTCACATTAAAAATGTCTCCAGTACCGCCTGGTTTCTTCTTCTGCTTATTAAACACCTGACAGCACATCACTGCCACCAAGTGGTGAAAACTTGTATTGTAACTCAGCGCCTGAATTCTGATGACGCCTCTGGTTTCTGTAAACTTCACTCCCCGCAGCCCACTGGTAAAAACCTGGGAGTTTCTTGCAGACCTCTAGGTGGCGCTGGAGGCCCAAATGTGGGCTGTGGCCCTGGGGTTAAGAATGGCTGCTTTAAAGGTTACCAGACTGGATCCCACCCTCTGTGCAGCTTCCTGGTTTCCCTCTCAGTGAAGATCCAGAGTTTCTCTACACACGGCTGCTCTTCCTCCTCCTTCATCTGCCTCAGCTGTCCGCCCTTCTGCACACTCACCGCTCCGAACCTCCAGGAGCCACATGTGGATCAGACATTCACCAAAAAGTGACACAATGCCGTGTTAGTTTCTACAGCAAAGCTTTTATTCAGATTTAGCCAAAAGAAATTGTTGTAGTCAACCAAGAGTAATAAAATTTAGTCAATTAAATCTACAATCAACATAATTACATGTAAAATGTAAATACTTTCTCATCATTTCACTTGAAATAACACAAAATTAGTTGTTTTTACCCAGTTGTGGCATAAAGTTATTGTGAAAATACAATGCATAACAGATTTAACTTTTTATAAACGTCTATTTTTCTGATCTTGCCTTCAACAAAAACGTAATATTTCAGCCAGTAGGATGAAAATCTACACTGTCCATAACAAATTTCATATTGCATTCTTGCAGAAACATTCTTCATGAAATATGTTACCATAAATCCAAAAACCAAACCTATTCAAAATAAAATAGGCTAATATTACTGAATTAATGAAAATTTAAACTCAACATGCAAGAGAATCAAAGCACAATATTTTACTAAAAGAGAAAAGTGAATCAGTCATGGCGTGATGCTCCATGTCATTCCCAGGAGATTTCTGAGAATGAACTGTGACTCTGAACTCTGCACGTCTGTTGCCCCTAAGAGAATCACAGACACGTTTTCAGATCCGTCCTACATTCAACCTCACTGACGCTGAGCAAGAGACGTGCATCTTCTGACTCACATCCGTCTTTTGGGAGAGTTTTTACTTCTGAGGAAGGCTGGCCGTTTTAAAAAGGGTGTTGAGAGCAGCGCGTTGTCGTCACATCAGCTCCTGCAGGCAACAAGGGTCCACAGCGGACCTCGGTTTGCTGTCCTCGATATTTCCTGCTTCATTAACATTTAAGGATGATTGTGTATTTTACAAGATGGTGGAAGCTTCAGCCCATCCATAAATCTCACATGTTCCACAGATAATAGTAACACACATATAAGTGAACCAACTGGCTTTACAGCACAACCAAGCAAACTTTAAATTGAAGGTAGCACCCATGTGCGCCATGAGTTATGTGGAATTTCATAGCTACTAAATTTAACACAAGCTGATAATTGAGTAACATTGTATGCCCATCATACAACAGAAATTAGTGCAACTTACCTTTGAAAAAATATCTGCATGGTGAGCTTTTGGTATTATTTAAGATTCCTAGTATTTTGTTCACCAAGTTTAAATCCACATTTACCACCGTCTCCCCAGACAGTCGAGTTCTTCTTTCAAAAGGGCGATGGCCTTTTCAAGAAAGCTCCATAAATCCTTTCAGGGTTTCTGTTCACAGAGTCCCTTCGTGTAACTTAACGCCGTGATCCATCATTCAGGTGGTGGGCGTCGCCAAACAGGATGCAGCAGCTTTGCTGCTGCGCTTCACTGGCAGATCATGAGCACAACAGCCAAAAGATCAAACATATTGGATGTAACAGACCCACAATCATTCTCCTTTAGTTTTGTGTCAATTAAAACTCACATCTCGTCATGTCTTAGTCATCCAAGAGGGTCCGTGTATCTTCAGGAAGTTCATTTTTTCGTTTGAAATGGAAAATGAAAAAAAAAAGAAATAGACTCACTTTTTCGCTTTTCGTTTAGAAAACGGAAATCAGATTTTTGGCTCATTATTTCATTTTTGACAAGCGGTCTGACCCGGAGGTTCTCTCTGTCCGGCTTACACAGGGGCCGTATCACACACATCATGCAGGCTGCAGGCCGACAAGCTTGTTCCTTTCAGGTTTTATATACTATATAGTATTTTCTGCCAGCCGCAAGTCTGTTTTAGTAATTCTCCTGTGAGAAACAAATGATACCGGACATCTGGTCACCGAGAAAAATGGTTAGCCTGAGTTTTTAGTTAAGTTTTTTATTTTGAAAGGCCAGAGCACGGGGGAGTGGCTTTCCACTGCAGCCATACCGTCTCGTCTCTGGACCAGCAAGATGGCTTCCATTGCACTGCTTCTCCAGCAGCGACAAACAGGTCAGTACACTATTAATTTGTCACAAAAAGTTGTTTTAAGATGTTTTTACGCTAGAAAGTAGCTCTTATAGCTTCATTTACGCACTTAGTTCATGCAGTTTCTATGAAATATACTCTGGAATTTTCGGAGCATCGTAGCTCCGCTAACGGCTCCAGGTGGTTCCAGGTGGCTCCAGGCGGTTCCTGGTGGCTCCAGGCGGTTCCAGGTGGCTCCAGGCGGTTCCAGGTGGCTCCAGGCGGTTTCAGGCGGTTCCAGGTGGCTCCAGGCGGTTTCAGGCGGTTCCAGGTGGCTCCAGGCGGTTCCAGGTGGCTCCAGGCGGTTCCAGGCGGCTCCAGGCGGTTCCAGGTGGCTCCAGGCGGTTCCAGGCTCAGCGGCCGGCCGGAGTGTGTTTACCCCACTAACCGCAACCTGATCTCGGCGAGTCACCTTGTCGTATTCTGCTGCTTGATATCTGATCGTAGCGTTTCAAAGTGTGACATGAAGAGTTTAATGAGTTTGCATAGATACTGTTTGATACGTGTGTCAAAATATAATATTCCTCTCTGGAGAGTTTGACACTTCTGAAGATGTTGGGATCTAAACATCGACAGTGTTCGCTTCCAATACCAATTATTCTCTTCCTCTGTTTTTTTTCTAGTTCGTAAATTTATATTATTTGCGTGTGAGTGAAATATATTCTTCCCTTTGATTGGCTTCTTACATGCAGTGTGAACTTTTTAAAATATTTTTTATTGTTTCATACAGGCGGCTCTTCAGGAGGAGAGGTTTCAGTTCCAGGTTTGGATGCAGCTTCCCAGAATCTCCCAGTGATCCTCTTCCTCCTCCTGACATCGTCTTCCTCACTGTCTCCTCATCTTTTATATGCATAAATTATAGGAATATTTTTTTTATGATTCCCCAAACATTGGCTGAATATCTTCGTATGTTATTGTAATAAATACATTTTAATGAAAATGTTTTGTTTCTGTTTATTTTGTAAGATTTGAGTTTAAAGCTCTGACTACATATAGGTTGATACAAATTAAATATCAAATGATTATTTTAATGTTTCTTGCTTATAAATCCAGAGATAAGAAATAATGGAAATAATCAACTCAAAAGTTGTTCATTATGTTTAGTCAGTTGAGTTTAATAAGTTATAAGTAAATAGTCTCATGAAGGGGACAAAGGTTTTCATTTCTAATTGGACAGTAATACTCATAAAAATATGAAAAAATATTGTGTGTTAAACCACAGAAGAGGATATGAAGATAAAGGGCCTGTAACGTTATTCTAACACCAACTGATGTGCAAGACATTTTTTTAGATTAAAGTCAGAATGATAACCTGCTTTCTTTCCCAAATCCTCTTTTTTCAAACATTTCCTACCTGGTAGAAATAGATACATTTTTATATTTTGGATAACCTTTTCTGCATGCTTGTTCATGACATACCAGATTATAATTGGTATGCTATTCAGAAAGGAAAAACTAAAGGGTTTGAATGACGGGCAGAATGTTCTAGTCACGGTTTGAGCGTCTTTTTAAACCAGAGCAGATTAAAGGTTGGTAAAAATTGGGCGGACTAGTCCTTTAGCCATTAACTAAATCGGAAGCTGCTTTTAGCAGCCATTAGCTTCATATAGTAAACAAAGTGTATAAGGCTTTCTGTGTGAAGGTATCATGATCAATTTAATTACATGCCAATTTGGACGAGTTTACAAAAACAAACTGTGCCGGACAGAGAGGACTTCAGGTCAGACCACTTGAAATCATGAAAATTGAAATCGAGCGCTCATTATCCGAGTTTTCCATTTTCGTTTGGTGAATGAAATGGGAAATCGGATAACGAGCCGAGCTGAGCCATTATCTGATTTCTGATTATGGTTTAATAAACAAAAAACGAGAATATTTTTGTTTTTTCATTTCAAATGAAAAAACAAACGCATCATGTCATTTTTGTTGTCTCATTGTCATAAAAAAGGTTTACAAAAACATTGGCACAACCCAAATACAAGTGTATGATGATTATTAAGCGTGCATAAGTCATAATTAGTCATAATGTGATCGTTTTCATAGCGAATCCATTCTTGGGGGTGAAACACATTCAAGGTATGAATTTAAAACGTATAAGCTGGTGGTCACGGTTTTCAAAGTGCTATGTAGATTCTCTGTCCCAGTAAATTTGGACCTCTACGTAGAGGAGCGTTCCCTTTCCGATATATTTCCCGGAGACATTCCTGTCAGTGTGGAACTAGAGGGCTTCAAGAAACAATAAAGGGCAGAACATTCTTTAACAAACAGCACTTAATGAGTCTGGTTTATCCCCACACATTGGACCCATCTCTGTCAGTAAATGTCAGCAGAAGGAAACACAGAATTAGCTTACAGTTGGAATTTTTCCCTGTTGGACCAATTCGCACGATTTCAACTGAAGGCATCTCCAGGAACCACTTCAGGACAGCATTGAGTAAATAGGTGGGAAGGTTAGGTATTTCAGGGGTTTGGGGAATCCCCCCTATCTTTATGTAGTCTCTGGCCGACCTGTCAGCTTTTTCCTCCAGTGTGTTGCACAGTGTTGCTAGCTTGCCCATCAATGTAGAGAGGCGGCTATCTACATCTGTTAGGCGGCTTTTGGTGGTTTCTAAATACTCTGAGGTGTCTGCTCAGATGGTTAACATCTCAGATTTTCAGCGATGTGCTCCGTCACCGTGGCTTGTGATTTGGCTGAAAGTTGGGCAACCACTTCTTCCACTGGCGTAGTTCTGGCTTCTGCTACTGCTAGCTTAACTAGGTCAGCAGTTTCTTCATTGTCAACAGAGCGGACATTCATTTGTTTTTGAGCCTTTTGACAGATTGGTTCGGTGACAATGTCACCATCACTTTCTACTTGGTAAACATGTCAACCAAAATATCACATGTGGAAAAACAAAGGTACATCAGGGAAAAGTGTAGATCTATGGTTAACAAGCTACATTCCTCACCTCGGTCCCATGACTTTGCGTGACTTGAAAGGCTTCTATTTTGTGTGAATTATAACATGGTTAGTCAAACTTTTTTTATGACTGAAGCCTTTGCCACAGGTTCCACATGAGAAAGGCTTTTCACCTGTATGATTCCTTACGTGGTTAGTCAAATTACGTTTCGCATTGAAACCCTTTCCACAAATTATACATGAAAAAGGCTTCTCACCTGTGTGAGTTCTCATGTGGCTTGTCAAACTTCCTCTTTGATTGAAACATTTTCCACACGTCATACATGGGAACGGCTTCTCACCTGTGTGAGTTCTCATGTGCCTATTCAAATGACCTTTTTGATTGAAACTTTTTCCACAAGTTATACAAGAAAAAGGCTTCTCACCTGTATGATTTGTCATGTGGTTAGTCAAATTACGCTTTGTATTGAAACCCATTCCACAAGTTAAACATGAAAAAGGCTTCTCACTTGTGTGAATTCTCATGTGGCTATTCAAATCATTTTTGTGCCTGAAACATTTCCCACAAGTTTTACATGAGAAAGGCTTCTCACCTGTGTGAGTTCTCATATGGCAATTCAAAATATGTTTTTGATTGAAACATTTTCCACAGGTCAGACAAGAGAAAGGCTTCTCACCTGTATGAGTTCTCATGTGGCTAATCAAATTACCTTTTTGATTAAAAGACTTTCCACAGATTATACATGAGAATGGCTTCTCACCTGTGTGAGTTCTCATGTGAACTGTTAATCCACAGTTGAATTTGAAACTTTTATGACACACTTTACACTGTTTCAATTTTTTATCCTTCTGAATTTTCTTGCCCTTCATTCTTTGCTCTTCATTCCCACATCTGGTTTTCTGTTGCCGTTTATCTCTGTGGGATCCCGAGGCTTCATTAGTCTCTATTCCCTGATGATGATCTGCTTCAGGGATGTTCTGAAAGATGATTTGGGTTCCATTGAGCTCCAGTCGTTGGTGGTCTGTTTCATCATCAGAAAGCTTTAGGATTAAGATATCAATCTCCTCCTTCGGTACTTCCTGGTTTTCATCCTGACTTCCCATCTGCTCAAGTCCTGATCCATCCTCCAGTTCCTTTATTTCTTTAAGTTCTAGTTCTACTGGTTCTTCTTTGATTTGGTGAGATACAGAATTGGTTCCTATTAAGGTATCAATCTCGTGGTCCAGTACATCCTGGTTTTCATCCTGACTGATGTCTTCAACTTCAATCTTTACAATCTGCAGAGATCCTAATTGATAATCATCTTTCTTCATTTGTTGCAGTTCTAGTTCCTCTGGCTCTTCTTTGATTTCAAGAGATGCAGAATCTTTTCCTATTGTGTTATCCATCTCTTGCTTTGGTGCAGTAAGGTCTGGTTCTGACTCATGCTCTTCTTCTTGTACAAGTTCTGGTTCCTCTGCTCTCCCTTTGGTTTTCAGAGATTCCCTCTGGTTCAGAAAAGAGATGTCTTGTTGGTTGAGGATAAAATGATGAGCAAGAACATCTTGCTTGTTAACAGACATAATGTGTCAAATCTGAAAAAATGAAAACAGAAAATGGAATATTAAAATTTTAACTTATTACCTACAGCAGTTGGTTCTCTGTTCATCTGTTATTGACCAAAAAAAGGAGCATCACAGCTTTGGAGGAGCTCACTGATAATGAAGCTTCATCAGCTTCAAATTTTCTACAGGTGCCGTCTTTAGAGTCAAAGTGAACTAGGGCTGAAACGATTCCTCGAATGATTCGAGTACCT